CACCGGGCACGGGCTGCGGCCTCACACCCGGGCGGACCTCCTGCGGCTCAGGCGGTGCGCCGGGGTCCGGCTGCCGGGGTTGCCGCCGGGGTGCTCCTGCTCCCCCGGGTAGAGCTCGCCCTCCTCCTGCACTCCGCCCCGGGCCTCTCCCTCCTCCTGCCGGCCCCGCCGCACCCACCAGCGGGCGCGGGCCGGGGGGCTCGCCGTGTCCCGCCGCCCCCCGCCGCGCTCCTGCTGCGCCCGCCGGGCCAGGCCCTGCTCCTGCCGGACCTTGGGGCCGTGCTCCTGCACGCCCCGCACCGCGCCCCGCGCCCGCCGCGCCCCGGGGCTGCCGCCCGCCGCCGCCTCCTCCGCGCCCCGCGCCCGCCGCCGCGCCCGCGCCGCCCCCCGCTCCCGGGGCCGCCGCGGCTCCGCGCCCGGCTTGGGGCTGCCGAGGGCGGTGACGGGCCCGGGCCGCTCGCCCCACTCCTGCAGGCTCGTCCGCTCGCCCAGCGGCACCCAGTGCCACCGGCCCGGCCCCCCGCCGCCCCTCGGCTCCCTGCCGCCGGCCACCAGCTCCTGGCCGCGGGGCAGCGCCCCCAGCCCCGCCTCCTGCACGCCGCGAGTGAAGCCGCCCTGCTCCTGCACCCCCGGGGCCACCCCGCCGCCCTCCGGCACCGCCGGGCTCAACCCGCCGCCCTCCGGCACCCCCGGCGCCCCGCTCGCCCCCTGCCCCCGGATGGTGCACGCGGTGCGGGCCCCACCCCGGCCCCGCACGCTGGGGAAGCCCCCCCGCGCCGCGCCCCTGGAGCTCCGGCTCCGCCACCCCTTCCTCCCCTCCTGCCCCCCCGCCTCCTCCTGCCGCCGCCGCCGGGAGCCCGGACGGCCCCCGACCCGCCCCCGGCCCTGCTCTTAAAGGCGCCGCCCCGCCGCTTTACGTAACGGCGGGGGTGAGGACGGACAGACGGACAGATGAATGGATGGGCACGGGGATGGACGCGCGGACAGACAGACTCACCGCGGGGCAGCGCCAGGCCCCGGGACCGATCCGCTGCACCGGGGAGGCGGGCTGCCCTGCGCTGCCAAAGTCCCTGCTCCCAGGTGAGTTGGAAGGGGCTGCTCCCCGTTCCCTCTGCCCCGGCGGGGCTGGCGCTGCCCGGCCGCAGGAGCCTTTCCGGACACTTTGCAGAGTTACCGCAGGGAGAGAGCTCTGCCAGGCGCGGGCAGCAGCTGCGGGAAACGACGTCCTTCCAACAAGTAAATCATCCCCGGGGGAAGAGGAGGGACCAGAGCTACGCCGGGACAGCCCATAAAGCGCGAGCTGGGATCCTGGAGAAGCTGCCGCTCACCCAAATAGCGGGACTTCTAGAGATGCGGTGCTTGTAAAGCAGAAGGTGAGACCCGCATGAGGGATGGGGGAAGACAGCAGAGAGAAACTGAACTTATTTAAATGCAGAGCCCCAAACCCATGCAGTCTCACCTGAGCAGGCCTCTGGGGCTGAGAAGGCTGCTCCTGCCCTCCCAGAGCTGCCCTGGACTCTAAGCAGTATCCACACTTGTGTATCTGCCTTGGCACACAGGACCTCCAGGATGATGAAGGGCAGGAACAAGGCAGAAGCAAGTGCTGGCTTCTGGGACACAGCCACCCACAGGCTCCTCCAGCCACCTTCTCAACAGCAGAGACCTGCAAGGCCATAGCCAGGGGAAACCTGACATTTCATCCTCCTCCCATCATTCACCCATACAGCACAGGCTTTTCAGAGTCAATGCTGTGATGGAGAGGCAGGAGGTAGGACATAAAAGGAGGGGGAAGGTCTGGGGGTTTGCATACAGTTGTGCTCCACCTCATTGCAGTTGTCTGTGGTAAGGCAGGACTCAGCTGAGCAGCACCGTGAAGTTCAGATTTGCTACTGCACATCAACCAAGTGATACTGGAGCTGCTGCACATCAGCCCTGATGGAACAGGACAACAGCCTCCCTGCAGCTGCCCAAGGTCACCCATGGCCACAATGCCACAACAGCACCATGGCTTTGCAAGAAGTCACAAGAGAAGGTGAGTGTTCAAGCTTCAACATCTTTATTAAAGCAGAGAGCAGGTAATCCAGAACCCCACAAGAGAAACTGAGTGTTCAAGCTTCAAAAACACTTTATTCAAGCAAACAGCAGGTAAATCCAGAAACAGTTTAGCACCCCACAGCAGTCAGATGCCAGCAGTGAGCAAGGCATCCCAACATCCCAGTAGTCACGGCTGTGCTGCCTAGCCAGGAGACAAGCTTTGTCTTCTGTCTCTCTCTGCTGGCTACAAAGCACAAGATTAAGTTTGACATCAAGATGCATGCAAACACCACAGTGAGGACTCCCAGACAGCAGCTCTTAGATGCCATCCAGAGAAATGTCACTAGAAACTAGAATGTCAGAGAAAACATTAACACAGACAGGGCTGTAGGAAGTTAGAGAGTTAAGAGAAGTTAAGGAAGAACAAGTTGCACAAGCCTGGGCATCAGGTTTCTAGAGACCGATGAAAATCCAGCCCTCCAAGCTGGTGAGCACTGAGCTCAGTAACTAGGCTGGGGGCCAGTCCCTGCCCTTTCCTTGCAGAGCTCCAGCTGAACAGTGTTCCTTCCCTCAAGGACTACTGCTGGGCCTCAGGTCACTCGCTCAGGTTAGGTTTAAATGCCAGATCAAACGGCAGAGTTTAGGTTAAAACTAAGCTGTGGGTTAGATTTAAATGCCAAATCAAACTGCAAAGAACAACCAACAGCCCCTGGGAACAGGCAGTGCAGTTTAGCAGATGTGTTAGCAGGTGTCACACATCAGCAGTGCTCAGCTTCAGGTCACATAGCAGAGTGGCACCATTAGAGAGCTGACACTGATTTTCCTCCCTCCATTCAACACCCAAGGGGGCAAGACTGGAATTTCCAGCCAGAACTGGAGAGTGAGCAGCCCATGCCCACACATCAGCACCCTCCCAGTGCGACAGCAGGCCAGCCTCTCTAAGTGCTACATGTACCCATCCAGAGCAGTGACCAGAGCCCTCCAGACAGCTATGAGCCCCAAGCCCTGCATTCACCTTTAATTCCTCAGGTCTTTGTAACTAATTCGAAGGAAATTTACAACACCACAGAGCACACAGTCTAACTTGACTAGTTTCCACTAAACACTCAAGCACCACTCTTGTGACTGAAGGCAGGAAGCCAATTCAAGACAGCACAGCTATTTGAAACGGTTCAGCCTATGGAGGAGGAAGTGTCTAAGGATGTACATAACAGACTGAAGATTGTATCTGCATCACCACAGGAGAGTGAAAAAATAGGACTGCAGGAAATTAATCCATGTTAGATACTAACCATCAAGCTTCGCAGATGACATTGCGTGATAAGCATAGAACAATTATGGGAAACACTGTCCCCGATAATTAAGTACACCCATAGTGCAACATATGGAGGTCACTGCCTCCGATATAACACTGTGGTAGGCAAAAACTACCTTGTTCTTTACACATTATGGGAGACACTGCCCCCGATAATGTCAGTTAGGTTTCATGATACATAAGGTACTGGAAGTTTGCAGGAAGCTGCCTTTTGAAAATCGTGCCAATGCCTAATCTGACGTACAGGGAGTTTCTGTGTGTTGCCACAGGTGGAACTAGGGCTACACAGCAAGGCCCTCTGCTGGGACCAGGGCCAGGAAGGAAGCTGTGCTCCCTGTGAGAGCACACAGCATCCAGAAAGGGGAGCAGGAAGAAGTCTGAAGCCCACAGAGGGGCACAGACCCTGCAAGGAAGACAAATTTCTGGTATTGGAATTTCCACCCAGATTATCAGCATTTCAAGGATTACTTTGGAGCGCAACCTGGATACTCACTACCAGGTTTGCATCTTCAAGTTTCTTCCAGAGGGGTGTTTTCGCCACAGAAAGCTTAATCGCTAGTTTTCCAAAACTTTTTGAGGGTCTTGTTTTGATTATTTTAAATGCAAAGTTCCAGTATCATGTTTGATTGTAATAGCAGATGCTGCTTTATTCAAAAACGACAGTATAACTGTCATAATTATGGAAGGCACTGCTTCCGATAATTATCTTCTATAAAAAAAACACACCATTTATAGTGAACACTGTCACTGATAAATAAATAAAGAAATAAATATCTCAGTGCCAAACAAGAGCCAACCTGCAAAATGACATCAGTCAAACAGAGTTTGGCCAGCAAGAGACTTGATTTCACACAAGGCCCCTGAAGCAGCAAGGTCTGAAGTGCCAGTCTAAAGACATTTCTGCTGCAGGACTTGCTGAGGTGCCAGCCGAGGATATCAGGGGGACATTGAATAATCTTTGGGTTATTTTCCCTGGGTATTGATACCTGCCTTGGCAGAAGCAAGCCTGCAAGATGTCACTGGGACCTTGCTGTTGAGTAAAAGCAGGCAGGCACTTCAGAGCTTACTGATAATCCAGCACTTGCGGGCAATTACTACTACATTGTTTAATTTTTGAACTGCAGCTCCCTGCTAGAGAAGGGACCCTTGCTAACAAATGTTCAGAGGAATCCATTCCCTGTTTTGTCACTAGGTTTAGGTGGCCAACAATTACAAGCCTGAATAGATGAGGTACCTCCCCACTCAAGGTACCAGTTCAGGAAACACCTGAGTTCTTAGTTTTTAAGTACACTGGAGCAGCTGTATATGACCAGTTTGGACTGAGGTTAGGTGGGAGCCTGGTGAGAGACTTCATGGTAATCTTACTACTACTTTAAAACTGCCTCCTGTGAATTTGTCAAGGTGAGATTTAAATTTTATGCTCAACTTTGGTCAAAAATGTTTTGCTGCCAGAACATGGCATTACTCCAGGAAAGTAATGCCATGTTAGGGAGTGGGTTTCACTTACGTTTCAGGGGGTTTGGTTAGGTTTTACGATATATAAGGTACTGGAAATCTGCAAGAAGCTGCCATTTAAAAATCATGCCAATGCCTAATCTGAGGTACAGGGAGTTTGTGTGTGTTGCTATAGGTGGAACTAGATCTACACAGCAAGGCCCTCTGCTGGGACCAGGGCCAGGAAGGAAGCTGTGCTCCCTGTGAGAGTACACAGCTCTCCTGTACCTTAGACAGGTAATCCAGGTGTTTGCTGCATCTAGATTTCATTGTCTGTATTCCAGATATCACCCACCAAAGCATTGGCAGCCCCTTTAATGGTCCAGGTTGCCAGGGCCATCTGCTCTTTCAGCTCATTCACATCTACACTGGTCTTGTTGGCTGCCAGCTGCTCCAGGTTCTCCAGCAGACTCTTCAGAGTGTGGCTGCCTCTGCCGAAGAAGATGTGGCGGAAGGGAGCATCTTTTGGTGAGAGGTATGGAGAGAGGAAGTCGTATTCCACCTGAGTAGAGGTGCAAATAGAGGGTTATACTCTCACCTCCCAAGCTTTTCTTTCCTGATCTGCCCATCTCTGATCCCCACTCAGCCCTTTCCCACAGCAGCTCAGCAAGGGCCAGACCCTCTCTCATGAGCAAGCCATCACGTCGCCACTAAGCAAGTGGAAGAGACACCAGTCTGCACAGTGTCCATGGCCCCTTAGGGAAAGGCCTATCCCAGCCAGCACTCTCTTCCTTTGTGAAGGAAGAAAAACCAGTTGAAGATACCCACCTTCATCATCCTGTCATTCAGGGCTCTGCGGACAATCCTGTTTTCCCTGTCACTGTTTTCGATGTCTCTTCTCAGTGCATCTGCAGCTCGCTGGAAGTCTCCACGAGCAAAATAGAGCCAGTTCAAGGTCAGCCCCAGTTCCTGCAAGGGAGGAGCTGTTAGCAAACCTGATTTTCTTCTTTTGCTGCTCTCTTACCAAAAGAAAGTGTTGGGTTTTTTTTTTCTTGGCAGTTTAGCCAAGTAGCAGAACAAGTTCCTGGCAGGCTCTTCTGAGGTCACTCCCTACCCACAGTTTCTTGTAGATTTTCAGCAAAGGTGCAAATGAGACAGAAAGCTGCGCTATGCTGTGAATGATAACCAGAGAAGAAACTGTTCACATCCATTTTCTCAAGAGCTCAGGACATCCAGATCAGCTAAATCTGTCTGCCACAGCTACTCCGCCTGCACAGCTCTATAAGGAACATCTATTCTGGCCACACTTCACTACCCTTTTATGTCTACAGGGGAAAGGTGTCCATCCTGCTGTATCCACTGGCACAGGGCCTTATTAGCACATGGGCCCCATAATCATCAGGGATTTGGTGAACTCAAGAGTCCTTCTCACCTTCACATCATCTTTGAAGTGCCACAGCTTCTCCTGGAATGACAGCAATTCGTCACTGTATCTATCCAAGTCCAGGAAGAGCTCATGGTCATGGGTCATCCTGAGAGCTATTTGTCCAGCAACTTCTGCAGCAGTACGCATGAGAGGATACAAGTTGACAGTCCTCCTTTTCAGATTAGCCAAAGTGTCCTCAGTAGTGCCCAAAAAGGCATACTCGTCACCTTCCTGCAAGAAAGAAGGTATTGAAGTTAGCCAAGAATGCTTTTCCAGTTAGACTTTTTTCATCCCCCACCAAAGGTTGCTTGTTACCTCTCCCCCATCCCATCTCCCTGTGCTGCTAAGGAGCAAAGACTCAAGTGGCAAAACTCCAAAGCACTGGGAAGGGCATGGAGTTCTTGTATCTCATCCCTGACAGCTTCCAGTGACCAGCAGGATGTTCTGCTCAGGGCAATGATATCACTTCCACAATGCCCTCTGCTTGCTGACCAGTAGGCTGTAGAACAGTTTTTCACTGATGCAGCAACAGATTGACATCTTTCTATTGCTTTTAGCTTCCGATTCATTGACATCCAAACCTCCAGAAAAGCAAGTGACCCCTCTCCCCAAAAACCTGCAAGTATTCAGTACTTTGGAACAGAGGCTGTAAGGCCAGCCTTGTCCCAGGAGCAGTCTTGACAGCAAGTACTGCCACAGCCACCAGGTCCAGAGGCTGCACCTCCTCCCTCTGAGAGGCTCTTGCAAGGACATTGAGCATGGACAGCACCTTTTGCCCTAAGATATCCTTACAGCACTCTGCATGGAATGAGCACACCAGGCAAGCACACGTTACTTACATCGTAGAAACCAAAGGAAACCACTGGGATTCCTGAGTAGGCCAGAAAAGGGAACGCTGCATTATCCAGATCAAGGGGAACGCTGCAGAAAATAAGCACTGAGCAGTTACCAACTGGTTTGGGCACCCCAGGAGAAAAGCTACAAGCTCTACAATTGAAGCTCTGAGACAACAGAACTCTAGACAAGACTGAAGGGAGTCCCAACCAAATCCATGGTCCTACTTGTCCATTCCCTGCCACTGGACTTGGTACAAGGCTGTTCCTGTCCTGCAGGAAGGTGGCTGGGCTGCCTCAGCCAGCTTGGGGCAGCACAGTTAGTGCTGTACTATTAACACTTGCCTAACCCCATGTCAGAAGGTAGAGCCCACCCAGACAACAGTATGGCACTCCAGCAGAATCCATACTGTTTGCTCCTTTATGGAGATCTGCTTTCTCCAGATGAAAGAGATGAATGACAGTACTTACACTTTCTCTATCCAGTCACTGCCAAATCTGCTATTTAGGAAACGCGCCTCGTTTGCAGGGTCCTTTACCTGCACAGAGATGAGAATCACTGCACTTGTTCTGACATCTGCTTGGGCTTCTAGCTCCATCCTGGAGCTCACACTGATGTGTAGATGCCAGAGTAAGGTGTGCTCCCCTGACCTTTCTCCACACTGGCACATCTGCCACTGAAATGTGGCATTTGCTGATTTTAGATTCTGCATGTGTCAACTGCAATTCCCAGAGCCCAGGTGATTTCTGACAGGGCCCCTTCAGAATCACAGGTTTTTCTCCTAAATGGGTCTTTCTCCTGTCAGGTGGGCAAAGTGACCCAGCACAGCTCTGTCTGCTTTCAGATCCCCCTTAAAACCACAGTCACCTTGATCAGATCAATGCCCTTTAACTCACCCTCTTCATAGTTGTCTCCAGCAAAGAGTACAGCAATGGGCTAGCAGAAATCTTGATGTCTGAGGAGCCTGCAAAAAAATGAAAGGGTATTTGACATACTGCCACAATCAACCACTACTGCTAGAGCTGCCCACCTCTGATCTGCAGCTACAGTTGCCAAAGGACCTTCAACAGACACAGGACAGTCTGCTGGGATTTAGCAGAGTTGACTCCTCATGGCTTAGGCTGTACCAGCCTCCCAGCTTCAATGACAGCAGGAGAATAAATGGAGTCATGCCAGTCTTCAGCCAAACACCCACCAGCCACCTCGTGGCACAGCCCCCATTCCTAGAGGTTAAGGGATGTCTGTTCAAGCTATTCTAGTCTCACCCAATTTTAAAAAGTACTTGAAATAGTAGCAGATTACCCAGGACTGCAGTATCCAAGTTGATATAAGTGAAGGCTTTGGTATGCAGCGTGGTAGAGTACCCCTAGAACAAAACAAGTATTTTAATAATGAGAAGTAGCAGCCCAACACCAGAATGTTTAATCCACAGGAACAACTGCACAGCCATCCTGCAGAACTCTATTGAACAACCAATACCTCCAGCCACTCGGTAGCACCCACGGCTCCGTACTCTCCCGCACTCCAGCTAGCAAAGATAATGCTGCGCCGTGGCTTGTAGTCATCTGTAAAGAGAGAGAGACTCAGAGGTCTGCCCTTTCCCCATGGAGATGCAGATTAGCACTGCAGGCCTGGGATGATGAATTGCCTGCTCCTCAGACAGCGCTGCTGCAGAGAAATGTGCCCGTCGCACGGACACTGCACCCTGCCCCCACATGCTGCAGGACTGCGCAGGAGAACAATGCTGTCTGCATTTCCACTCTGTTTTGTTTAGCTGCCTGAGCCCAAAATTAACCCTGGAGACAAGTGTGCTCACACTAACTGCCACCATGCAGTCCCCACTGTTCCAGCTGGTCAGACACTTCAGAGTTTTCCCACTTTGGGCCTGGCTGTCCAAGAGACAGCTCAAGTTTAAGGTTTGCATCCTGTGTTATCCAAGGACACACTGGTAACTGAGACATGCCAGACACAGGCAGGCAGTCCCTTGGAAGTGAATGCTCATTGCAGACAAGTTGTATTGGACAAGAAACAGCTTATCAGGAAGCTTTGTCAGATTCCCTACACCTTCTAAAGGACTGCTTTGCAACTGGGCTCTCCAGTGTTAACACAGAGAGCTAGACCTGCATCACCACCCACCCTCGTGCTTTTGTTCACAAATATTTACCATTTTTCACCATGTCTGAGATCACACGGGCAAGTTCCAACAAGATGGCAGTGCCAACTCCAGCCTTGGCTGCTCCTGGCCCCCAGGAGTCTCTCTGCGCTCCGAGCACAACGTAGCGGTCTGTGAAGGAGACAAGATCAAGACCTGAGCTGCAAGCTTCAGACTGCAAGTACCATTTATGAGAAGAGCAGCTTTCAGCTTCTGTATTAGGAAGAGAATCTGCAGTCTGATCCCTGAATCTGGCACACAGAGTCCTCTCATTAGCCTTTCCCTAGCAGCATGGTTCAGATTTTTCCCTGATGCTCAGGGGAAGGCCTTGGTTCTGCTGACAAAGAACTGTCATCTGTCTGGGAGCAGCTGTCCCATTCCAATGACCACAGAAGGGTTCCCCTCAAGACTGAGCCACAATGCAGCTGCTGTTACCTGGTTCTTCAAATCCCTTGATAACACCAAAGATGTTCAGAATCTTCCTATCCACTATGACGTTGTTCACAGTCAGTTTCACTGTCATCTTGCTGCTGCCGCTCACTGTCACCTTACATCCCATGATGTCAACTCTCCACTCCTCAAGGCATTTCTCTCCATCCATTTTTCTGAGAGAAAAAGAAGATCCTTTGAACTCATTATCCAGCTCTAACCTTGCTTAGCTCTTGTGTGAAAAATGCACACCTGCAACTGCAGGTGCAACCTTGTTCAGGGCCTGCCTCTGAGAGAGTTTGCAGTTCTGTGCCACTAATTATGCAGGGAGGGGTAGAATGCAGAGACCAAGAGGAATCCAACACTAGATTAAGTTCAACCTTTAAGGCACGAGACTCTTCTCCAGCCAGTTCCAGAACATGCTCCCTGCCACACACAGCAGAGAGCAGCAGAGAGCTCTGTCTCACAGCACCTCACACCACCCTCAGTCCTGGCAAGAGGCAGCACCTCAGCCAGCATGACAGCAGAAACACTTACCCAAACAGTCTGGCTGCTGCTCCTCTAGAGATAGTTTGGACAGGAATTTGAGGTAGTCCAGAAGATTCCACTGGTGGGAACTGGGTGTGGTTGAAAGAAGGGAAGCCTGGGGTGAAAGGGTCTCCAGTTCCAAGGTGGGCCTGTGAAAAGCAAGAGGAGTCCTCAAGTCTCACCAGAGTCCAACAGTTTTCCTCTACACAAGGGCACTGCTGGACTGCTCAGGCTGCAGCCCTCAGCCAGAGAGGTTCTCAAGAACAACCAGGGGAACCAGTTACATACTCACATGTGCAAAGGGGACATAGGAATCTGCCTTCTTGTCATTTGAGGGGCCCGGGTACATCAGGACACCAACTGCTCCTTCCTTTCTGGCATTTGCAACCTGCAGCAAAGAGAAACATTAAGTGTACATCTGCACTGCAAGGCAGGGGAGTGCAGGCAAGAACATGGAGTAAGGGTGTGAAGGTTGTGCTTCTCAGTGCCCAACTCCATAGCAGATTTTAACAGCTACCTGACAGATACACAAGGCAGCTGAATCCTAGCAGCTCAGCCCTACTCCAGGCAAACTGTGTCTAACATCCTTTTGAACTGTCAGGACACATCACAGTGTCTCAGTCTATGATTCTTTCAGCTCATATTTGCTCCTTGGAGCAGCTTAAAATGTAATGTTATTTAATTTTGATTATGCTCCATTCATTTTCCCAAGATGAGATTAGTCTCAAGACAAGCAGCCACCAGAGGCTCATCTTCACACAGAAAATGGTGGCAGAGTGTATTAGCCAGGTCCCTGTTTAACACACCTACAACCCAGCTCTGGTATGCCACTGGTACAAACACTCTTGTACAGCTAGACACCAGTTTGGAAAGTGGGAATGGGATTGGAGAACCAGTGACCACATTTTTTAGAAGCACTTTCTGGCTCTGTCTGTCTCAGATACATGCAGACAAGGCTGAGTCCAACTGCAAAGGGTTCTGTGCCCCAGCCCCCCCAGGAGCACCCATCTGAGGGGCAGCTCTGGGTGAGATATGGAACAGGCTTGCATATTGAAACACCTGGATCCTTTAGCCTGCCTGGCTATTTGGTTCTGTTCTCTACAGAGGGAACACTACAGCAGCATGCATGGCCACCAGCTGGACACAGTACCAGCACTGCCATGTGGTCCAAGGAACAGTCAGCAAGGGCCCAAGTGACACACTGCAGCCAAACTTTGAAAGTGTCTGGCTACAGCAGCAAGAGGTGTCCTGGAGGCAAGGCTGTCCTGCTTCTGGCAGCCTTATGGCTGTGTCTAGAGTGATATTAGCCAGCTCTGCTCCCAGGCTGGCTCCCAGCCCCACTGCTCCAGAGGTCTGGTTGCTCCAGCAAACTGCCTGAGGCCAAGAAGAATTGCACCATGAACAGCAACAAACTCTGCTCAGCCTCAGTGTCCAGACCTGCACGTGGAGCTTTAGTGCAAACAAGCAAGACCAAGCCTGCAGAACAATCCTACGTACAGGAGTTCTACAGACCTAAAACAGACATACCTCTGCACCTCAAAGAGTAGGAAGCATAGCTTCCTGCTGCCAAGTCTAGCCAGGCTTTGGGGCAGACACTGCTTACCTTCTCAGCAAGGGTTATTTCTCCAGCTCTGAAGATGATTATAGCTCCATTCATTGAAACACCCAAATTTCGTATCTTCTGAAAATCTTCTTTCCGTCCATAGTTCGCATAGACGGGTTTGCCCTGCAACAGGAACACTGGTTATGAATGCAGCAGTCCTAAGTCGGTAAGATACCTGAAACAGCCTACAGAGTCACTGTAACAGTGACTACTGTTAAAGGAGGGAGCTGAAGCTCAGCAATGTAAATTGATCCAGTGCAAGACGCCTGTTGGAGCAGCGCTTCTGCCAAGGTTCCTGTCTGGATTCCAGCAGAGAAGTTTAAAGTTACTCCTGCATCTTGCTGCAGTAAGAATACCATGTGGGCCCATTCCTCTCTCGCCACTCTGACCACCCCACCCAGCTCTCTTAACTGAGGAGGGCTTTATACACTCCCTATCTTAAAGGGATTTATTTTTTAAGTGTACAGACATTTCCAGGATTCTTCTGGAGTCACTTACAGTAACTGTGCCACTCTTGCTGTATGCCACATATGCATCAGGACTCTCCAACTCTTCTTGACCATCTTCTACAATGAACACTTGGTTCCTGCTGCTGTTAAAGGTAGAGACAGTGTTGAACTTTTTCACACGAGAATTTAATTAGCTCAGTAGTCTGAGTTAGTATTCTGACTGTATTCAGTCTGTGCTCTAACAATTCTGATCAAGTCAACAGAGCCCGAAACAGGCAGACTCATCCCACCAAATATCTTCCATGCAAAAATCTCTGGAGTTGGTCAGAGACATTAATGAAGGCTGATTTCTAAGACTAGTACCAGAAAGAATATCTGCTTCCAAGTCACTCAGTCACCTCCTAAGAGAAGCTGAGCAAACTAATTTCCCCTGATAAAAAGGGGAAGTAAGACACGAGGGTGTGAGCTGTCAGACAACACAATGCCTCCTGACACCCTCCTGGGCTACAGGAGGAGCCACTGCCAGGTGTGCAGCCCTGTCTGGGTGACAAGACAGAGTCACCTGTGCCAGCAGTTTTAGACACAGGGAATCTGCCTTTCAGCTGAGTTTTCACTCAATTTTGTTTTCTGTCCACTTCCTAAGCATACCTGGAGGAAACAGCTCCCCCAGGAAACATCCAGAGTGCTGCTTCCAGACCCTTTGGATTTAGAAAGCCTGAGAAGAGGCAGGAGCAGTTATTGCTTTGCTAGATTGAGGCTGACTTGGCAGAGTGGTAACCGGCTCACAATTTTCACATCATTTTAAGCAGAAATCACATGTTTGCTCAAGACTACAGGTATCCATGTACATGTATCCATCCAGGTGCTATATGGACAAGATGTGCACCTGTTCTTTAACATACCTGCCTTTATCCTGCAGCCTAACGTAGTGCTCATCGTTCCACACGTCATCCATGCGGAAGCTGGTGAACTGGTCATGAATGTGGCTGGCAGTGCTCTCATCTTCAGTTTTGCCAGCTTCAAAAGAATTCTTACCTTCTCTCTGCCTGTAGGTAACAGATATACATATAGCTTAGGCTACAGCACCAGGCTGCACTGCAGCTTGCAAAGCCATTTAAGCCCGAGTTTAAAACACGCCACCTTACATAAGGCCCTTATTCTCCAAACGAGCTCAAGTTCTGCTCACAGGCTGTGCCTCTCTCAAAGCTCTAGATAAACCTTCTGGAACCCTTACCTCAGGTTGGCCTCAAGACGTCCAATTGACAGTTTAGATGACAACATGTTTCTTAATTCAGGCCAGTATAAGATACGTGGTCCAGGAACCACTTCTTCCTCCATTCCATCATCTGAGAAGTAAGATGCAGTAGGAGTCATCTCGCAGTTGCCACTTCCATCCAGACACCTGTTAACCCTCTGCATGCGTCCACGATAACTCAGGTAGCCGATGAGAAACCCTGTGGAAAGAACAGGAATTTCTTTGTGCTGCAGAAAGATGACTGAACCTCACCACACAGCTTCAGAGTTGAGATACATCTCTGCTCTCAACATTTTTGATGAGCTGGCTTACCCAAGGACAGACAAATATGCAGCCTGACATTTTGTCTGAGCTGGCATGTTTAAAGGGGCACTGTAAATCTGATCTTGCACTTGGCAGAGTCCCTCCAGCACCACTTGGAAAGGAAAATATTCTCTTTAGGCCAATGGCATTGTTAAAACCTTAAGAGACAAGTACCAAAGGCTTTACTCATCTGTTGACTTATATCTCTACAGAAGTGTTAAGAGTTAATGGAAGAAAAACCAAAACTTTGACATGGATCAGTCTTCTCTTCGGCTAAGTCACAGCTCTCCACAATCAAACTGCACAATTCTTTCTGCCAGTGATGTACCATAAATCTGATCTAGACATAGTTAGTGACAAGAGGCTGTGGCCTGGATCCCAGTTGTTGAATTATCTCCAAAAACAATACAGATTGGAATTTAATAACCTCAGATTACATTCAATACTGGAGTCCACTTGATGCAGTTGCCTCCCACCCTTCCTTACCAATCAAAAGGAGGAGGGCAGCTGCCATGATTACGAAGCAGAGGTTCTTGCCATTCCTCCGTGGAGGAGGCATGCTGGCATGCAGGTGCTCTGGTCTCCCAATTTCCCCTCCTTCCTCCTCATCAGCAGCCAGGTTCATCTCCACGTGGCTGTTGTCTCCGTCCGTTTGCCGGGCAATGCTGAAGCGCGTGTACGATGTTGGCTCGCCACTGAACTGTGAGGAAAGGCAGTCAGGAGATGGAAGAGTTGGCCACACCTGCTACAGTTCTTGCAGTCAGCTGCACCTGTGCTCCACCCCAAACACTGCTGGTCCATCTGCAGCTGCTCCAGTGCAGCGAGCATTTGGGCTGTCAGTAAGTCAAGATGGATGCTTTAAACACAGATAAGACTCAAAGACACTCAGGGTCTCCAGAGTCTACTTAGATTCCATTTACCCTGCACAAGTTTGGAGCCACACTGATCAGTCTAGCCTGGAGTCTTACAGATATGAAGCAGCCAATGGCATCAGCATTTCCCACGTCACCCCATGGCTGAGGCTGATTCAAGCAGAAACTCCTGGTTTTAATCAGCAGAGCACAGATCAGTCTTGACTGTGTACAATATACACTTTGATGAACACAGAGGAAACAGAAAGCAACTGTTTGCGGGCCTTTGAGCCACATCCACTTTGATGTAAATACTCTCATCCAGCACCTGGATAATTTTGTATTAAACTGCCCTATGGCTACCCTTAAATTACACTATTACACATATGCTAGTATTACAAAGCAGCTAGGCTGAAGAGAGATGACCCCTGGGCATTATGCTAGCTAACATGAAAGCTGAGCCTACACCTCTTGCACCCACCAACAACTGGCACTGTTTGACAGGTTTTTACCAATGCCCAAGCAGAGCTTTTAGGCTGGAGCCCACTTTTCTAAACAGGTGCAGGCACAGCCCAGCCTCCCACAGAACAGCAGCCCATGCACAAGGCAGCTGCTCAGATAAACTCAATTCCAGGCATAGCCAGGCACTGCCAGAACCACTCCTCTTCCATTAGAGATGCTGAAATTGCCTGCAGCCATGGTTCTGCTGGGGAGTAGAGTGAGACTGGCAAAAAGGAATAGCTTTGGGAGCAGCACTCTCCTTTGTACTGGAGAAGCACCTGGTAACAAGCATCCAAGCCGTGTTACAACCTCAGCAGCTCATCCACAGTTCTCAGCTCCCTCTCAAACTGTATGTCAGAGCTGGAAGTGAAGACACCAGATTTCTGCTTGCTTGGGCAAAAGAAACCAGTGTCATTTCAGACTTGCAGTTCCACTCTGACCCACACTAACCACAATGAAGTGGCTGCCTGCTCATATTTTGGAAAAGGGCAACACTGCAATCTGTCCTAACACTCTCCTTGCTCAGCTGCTCCACAGCTTGGCTTCCCCCACACCTGAGGCATGTCCTCACACAGAGGACATGCCCCAACCCTACATATCCTCCATTCTTGTTCAGAGACCAAACCACCACACTCTCAGTTCTAGCCTTGGGTCATTTCACAATCCAAGCTCTCTAGGACCAGCAGGCTTGGCTGAACAAGTTCCTGCATATTTGTTTCAAGCACAGGTTGCTTTCAAAAGCTGGACTTGTGGTTGAATTCCCACCCCTCAAGTAACAATAGAACACATGTTGATTGTCCCCGTAGGCATTTGAACGGCTTCCTCAGCAGCACTTCCTTCTGCAACGTTATTCAAGGCCCTCCCCCCCTTCCTTAGCCCTCAGAGACCCAAAACATGATAGCAGCTAACGATAAACCCACCAGCATGAGTTGCTTGAGCCACTTCCTTATCATGGCCAGCTACTTGCAGTGACATTTGGCTCACCACCCATACATCAGCTCCTAATGCTGCTTTGGATTTATCATATTCTCCAATACTGATAAGTAGTGATATTTTTTAAAATAAATATAGCTCCCTACTTATCAAGTATCTTTCATACAGTTCCATCAACACAGCCACCTGTTGCACAGTTTAGCTATACTCAATTCTACAACTGATGTATATTCAAATAGACAATGAACTACATGGAAAAATATAAAAATAATAATATACATATTATTATCATTACATATTATATGTATATACATATAATCTCATACACAGATGTTGTTGAAGCTTTCTTCTGCAGTATCATCAGCCCACCAAGAGACACACAGCACTGGGGTACCATGTCTTACCAAGTTAGAGATTGCTGCTCTGGCATGATCCATTGCCTTCTGGACAAATGCAAACCAACTTCACCAAAGCCCTAGAAGTTTAGAATACAACATGGTTAGGCTGTTCCCTTGCCACTACATTACACACCTGAGATCAGTTACTGCCACTGGTGCACTGCTTGCCCATGGATTTTCTGTGCATACTTCCACCCAAATCACTACATTAGTGAACCTGCATAAACCTTGAATGCAACCTAGAAGTTCCCACGGCAATGATCAGCTCCAATCAACACTTTCTGTTGAACTTTGGGCATACTGACAGGCATACAAACAAGGAATAGTCTCCAATGGCTAAGTTCAGCCAAGGGTCTTATTAATGGTGGGGACACCTCCATTTAGGGAGTGCTGGCAAGAGGCATTTACTCAACTGCCACCACGGACCCCAGATATCTGGATATCCTGAGTTCTGTCTCAATGACCAGCTGGAAAAGAGAAGTCACATAAGGCCATAAGGCAAAGCAGCCCAAACTCCAACCCCGACAAAACACTTTTAGTACAAACATCCCTCATAGACAGCTATGTTCTCTACAACTTTATGAAGGCAATTTCTGTCTTGAAGAATCTCTGAAAATCAATAAGAGCATGTTTCCAAAATAATTTCAGCAACTTTTAAAATTCTAAGTTCTCTGCAAACAGCAAACATATCTGAAAGGTAAACTGAAACTGATTTACTTCTCCATTTCTTCCTGAAGAAGGTTTGCAGTTTAGCGAGTGACCATACAGGTGCTGAGGTTGGGAGCAAGCAACCTGAGTATGCCCTCAAGCGCCGCTGCTAATAGGAGCTCTGGTCCTCAGGTGCACGTGGATTAGCTCCACACCTGGGAGCTCTGCAAGGTTTTATTTGGAGATCAAAGGTTAACAGTGGCCATTGCTTATTTCACCTCTTATTTAGGGCAAGAACACGTGGAGGTGAAACCCCGACATATTAGAGAAGCGTTCCCCATGCGACAGCCTGAGGCCGCAGGCTCCTATCAAGGCACAAGTGGACTGAGCATGTGGAGGGTCTGCTAAAAGGAAACCAGGGAAGAAGGAGGGAAGCACAAAGGGCCTGCGGGCATCGCACCTGGCAGGGATGCTGGCCGGGTGCGCGATGCCTCCCCGAGCTCCTCCAGCCAGGCCCCGATGTTCCAGAAATACGGCAACGAGAAGAAAAAGAGCGAAAAGCGAGCACGTTTGAGCAGCCACGCCGCGGGGCTGGGCGGCTCCGGTGTGGCGAGCAGGGCCCAGCTGCGGGCTGCCCGATAAGCGGCGGGGCGATAGGCGGGCGGCCGCGGGCACGTCTGCCCCGTGCCCGCCGAGCGGGCTCGTCAAGGTCGCGGGCTCTGCCGCATGCGGCGCGGCCACGGCGCCAACAGGGCCCCTGCGCCGCCGCGGCTCCCGCGCCGCCTCCCTTCCTCCCTTTCTCCCTCTGTCCACCCGTCCGTCCCCGCCTCCTGTCCCGCTCCCTGGCCTTCCACTCCCGCCGCGCCGCGCCGCGCCTCCGCGCCCGCTCACCCGCAGCAGCTCCAGCGCCGCGCCGGGCTCCTCTGCGGCGCCCGTAGTGGAGTTAACACGGGCCGGGATTGGCCCCCGCGCGGCCCGCCCCTACCGGGCAGGGCGGGCTCCGCCTCCCCTCTGCCCTCAGCACGTCCCCTCATGCCGCTCATGCTGCTGCTGCGGGGCCGCGTCCCGCCGCCCCACAGCCCACCCAAGGGTCGGGCTGCTGTGTGCCCCCCCGGCCTTGCTGCGCACAGGGAACGTAAGGAAGCACAGAACCATAGAGCCGAGCTGCAAGATCATCCAGTCCAACCATGAACCCAGCATCACCCCTGTAACCACTAAACCGTGTGACCCAGCACCTTTTAAGCACTCCAGGGGTCACGATTCTATGGCCTCTCTAGAAACCTGTTCCAGTGCCTGAAACGGTGAAAAATAAATTTCTAATGCCTAATCTGAATCTCCCATCTCACCTAAAGGCCATTTCCTCTAATCCTTTCGCTGCAGCCATGCTAGAAGAGACTCATCCCCTCCTCACTACGACCTACTTCCTTTGTAAAGAATGAAGCTGCTTGCTTTATAAATTGCCTTTAGGTGTCCTTGGTACGATGGAGGAGCCACTGACCAAGGGGCATGTGTTTCACTGGCTGCACACCAAGTCCCAGCTTCCCCCACAGGAAGGGCTGGAAGTGGGGCAGGGAGATGAGGTTAATAACTCTTTGTGGGAAGGCATGCAGTAGAAGATGGAGTGGGTCACAGATTTAGCATTCACATCCTCTGAGCATTTTGAGGAATGAGGGCAGGAGAAATATTTTCCTCCCTGGGTGGTGCAAACAATACACAGGACTTGCTTTGGCTTGGGAGGCTCTCAGCACCCTCAGGTCCCAGCAAGTCTCACATGCTCAGGGCTGCCTTTTTAGATCTGAACGGGCAGGGACACCCGAGATGCCTTTCCTTTGTGTTGGGCTGCACAGATTGCTATTTTATTTGTACAACGGGAAGCATGGCAGGTATTATGACTTCCAGCTCCTAAACACAAGAAGCATGGACAGCCTGCATCAAGACACAGGCTGTGGCCCAGCATGAGAGAAGGTCACTGCTTCCAGCCTCAGTCCTTCAGCTCAGGGCATCCCTCAAAAGCATGTCACAGTTACAGAACACTTCAAGGTTCCTGCGTGTGCATGTTCTGCAGTGCTGTGCTCGTTTGTCCCTTGCTCATTAGAAAAATAAATCAGTAGGCCTGGATTATTGCCTCAAATCCTCTCCCAAGAAAGAAGGACGGGAGCTGAAAGTTTGTAGTTTGGCAGAACACATGATTTGCAAAGAGGATTACGTTTGGTGAAAAGCAATACATTCCTGCGCTGATAAAAGGGGGATTAACTAGACCTGAAATTCGGCACGGAGGACTGGAGACGAGTCTGTAAAGAGTCTCTCAGGCAAAATGTGCTGGCAGAGCTGCCAGTTCTGTTTATCAGAGGAGGTCTGAGCCGGGCTCCAGTGCCCAGGCTCTCTCTGTTCCAGATTCATCCCTCACCAGCTGTGATGATGGCAGTCATGGGAGGGAGAACCATTGTCACTCGGCATGTGACTGACACGTGGGATGTGGTGCTGGCTGGTGCCTTGGTGGAAGCCAGAGGTTTAAGAGGGTTCAGAAAGAGTTCAGCTCAGTCCTGCAGGCTGGATGCTCCGCTCATTTCTCACTACACCAGCCTGGATGCAGCTGCTGCTCAGGAAAGCGTAACCCGGGGAGAGCAGCCGCAGCCCTGCCCTGTATTTTATGTTCCTCCTGGGCTCCCCCCACCAAGCCCTCGGCTTCCTTTACCTGTGCACAGCGTGCCAGGCGCAGGGCAGCGCTGGATTCCACGCCGAGCTCCCGCCACAGGAGGGACACCTGCAGGGCGCTCAGGGCCCGGCCGCTCCCCGCAGCAAGGTCGCAGTGCACAAGGAAGGCGGCAATGGGATTTATTCCGCCCCGCGGCCCCGGCTCGCCGCGCCTCCCTTCCGGCACGGCAGGGGAGGTGCCGGCCCGGCCCGCCCTGCCCGCACTCGCTGCAGGTGTTTTCCGTTCCCCATCGCAGCGTGCGTGTGCTCGGCAGTCAGTTCCCCATTTCTACACGTGCAGGAAAAAGAGAAGAAAGCTGACATTCTAGAAACTCAGACATTTTTGCACCTCAGCTGGTTTTGGTGGTAAAATACCTTAAAATGAGGGTTCTTCAAAAGCAGTGTTGTGTACCCCTGAGCAGTGGAGGGCCCTTCACCTTGCAAGGGACTGGGAGCTGGCTGGCCATAGGTGCTTGGTGCTGGTGCCACCTCTCTCAGGGACACCTGCTGCTCACACAGTGATGCTTGTGCTGCTGCCAATACCGAGCCCAGATGCTCAGGCTGCCCAGAACAACCCAAAATCTTTACGAGGAACAGAGAGCAAAAACTGGGAAATAGATGAAGAAGAAAGAGGATGTAGGATTGATTACTGCTGACTTCTAATCTGTCTTCCCAGCATCAGGGTGTTCCCCCTCGTTGTGGTTTGGCAAGCCAACCTATTTGGCTATTTTAGATGTCCATGTGTCCTCTGAACTCACAAACTGGGGGGGTATGTGAGTCCTCTGACTTGACTCAAATGACTCCACATGCTTTTGTACAATATCTCATGATGGGCCAGTGTCCTTCTTCTGGGATGCTGAGAACATGTGATCAAAATATAGTTTCACTTCAGTTTTACAGCAGGATTTGATGACCCTTGTTGGTCTCTTCCAGCTCAAAATATTCTGTGAAAAGCTGGTTTTCCAGCAGCTTATCACGAACAATGTTGTGAGGTGACTTGAACACTTCTATGACGAGAAATACTGCAACTAACATGGCTCTTCAGTCTGGAAGGGGTGGAAAAGCCAAGAACCAGGTTCTGGAGTGTGGTGCTGGATTGGATCTGCTGTTGGGCTGAGGCCAAGGGTTGTGGGACATGCAGTGGTCTGTGTGGTGGGAGGTGGTTATAGGGTGTGCACTCCATGGAACAGGGGCTGTGTGGCACTCCAGGCACCCCAGGGTGCAGGGCCAGAGAGGCAACAGGCTTCTGGAGACAAAAGAAAGACTTTGATCTTCTGCCCTGAATGGCAACTGCTTCCTCTGGATCCCAGCCACTCAGAGGAGTGGCAGTGCCAGCTCCAGCCTTGCTGTGTTTAAGGGGTAGACTGGCTGTGCTCCCATGTCACCTCGTGAGCTGCGCCTCATGGGTGCAGTCAGCTATTATAGGTCCCAGGAACCTGAGAAATCTAGTTTTTTCAGTGTCAGAATCATACTGCTCCCCCTCTACTACCCCAACCTTCCAGGTCAGGTCTGGCAGGCGGGGCTCCCAGGAGAGCCTGCCCTCTCTGCTCCTGTCTCACCAAGCCAAGAGAGCAATAGCCAAGAATTTCACAACACCACGAGTATCCCCATCCTCCAGAAGACCACATATTTTGCTGCTGCGTTTCTCAATTGTGCTGGCAAAAAGTGGGTAAAGTAGTTGGCTTTTCTTAGGGAAGGCCATCATACTGTCTTGGAGAATGTCATTCCATCCTGCAATCCAGGCACCCACAGCCATGCCTGGGAGCTGTTGTTCCTTGGCCCTGACACGTGCTGCCATGCAGGCTGAGGAAGGAGAGGGACTGTGATAGGCACTGGCATGTGGGAGAGGATCTGCTGAGTTTTCTTGTCCTGTAGCAAAGAGGCTGTGGAGGAGGTGAGGGAAAAGGCACTTGGGAGAATAAAAGTACAGTGGATAAAGCTACAGCTGGCCACAGCATTGTTGTCCCTTCAAAAGAACTCTTGTCTTTGCATCCTTCCTGGGGAAGTACCTGGGGCTGGCCTGGCTCTCCAGATTTTCCACAGCTGTCCTGGACAGGAGACAGAGCACCAAGCACCTGGAGGAGAGATGTGGGGCTGAGTACAGTGTGGGCTCTTGCTCCTATAAAGATGCTGACCTGGGATATCCCATGGACCACCCTCTCAAAATCCTCTGGGATTTCTCTTTTTTTTTACCTTCCTGCAATGTGGTGGCTCATCTCCCCATCTGTCCTGTCACACAAGGAGGGATGTGGGTGCAGTGATGCTCATTACTGCTGCTCTGCTTGCCAGGGGCTGGTATGGCGGCCTAGCAGAGAGGCTCATGCTTGGACACTGTCCCAGTGCGACTAAAACAGTCTGGATCTTTTAACTGGGCTTCCTTGCTTGCAAAGACTGGGTTTCACTGGGATTTTAACCACCAAGTTGTGGGGAACCCTTCCTTACCTACAGGGAGGAGGGTGGCCTGTTACCCGCTCTGTGCCTGGCCAGAGGGCACAGAGAGATGAACGATGATCAAAGACAGCAGCTTGAGTGTTGCTCGCTGCCTGGCAGTTACCTCTGCTGGCAACTGCTGGCCCTCCCAAGGGCAGCTGAGGGGGAGAGCAGCAGTGCCAGGACATCCCTTGGCTGCAGGGCACTGATACCGCTGCTGCCAAGAGCCCGAGCGCCCCGGCTGCGGCCAGGGCCGGTGCAGCTCTGTGGGGCTCGTGTTGACCTGGAGCCCTCACCCTGCAGGGTCAGCCTGGCACAGCTCTGCCTATCTTGGCAGCTGCACCTCGGCCCTGCCGTGTGTCCCTGCTCTGATAGCAGCCCTGCCCTGGCAGCCCCTGCTTTTATCTGCGGGTCAGGGCGGCTGTGGCTGCCTCTGGGGCAGGGGGCCTGCGGGCCGGGCCCTCCAGCAGTGTACAAACAAGCTCAGGATGTGAACACAATAGCCAAGGACGGGCCTTTGAAAAGCAGGGGGATGCAGAGTGGCCACCCTGGGGCACATCAAAGTCTGTCTCCCTCTGCACTGCTGAAAAAGCCCGTGTGTTTGATGGCTACCCATGGCCAGCCCCGACACAAGGGACCAAGGGTTTGAGGGAGGGGAAGTGGAAAGGGAAAAGAAATCAGCGGGGAGGAGCACAGGAGCTGGGACACAGTCATGTGGGTCTCTTCCTGAAAACACGGGCCTGTCATGAATTCCCTTGGTCCACTTTGTTGTGGCTCTTGCTGATCTGGAGTGCTGTATCTGGACTGTAGCCCACAGCCCCTCTTTCTCCTTTTTCAGTGCATCTCCAGG